GTGTGAGAAACTGAAAGTGTAAATAAGGACTAAAAGGTATAATAGATAATGTGAAATAGGAAGAAAAGGGGCAAAGGGGATTGGGAAGTGGGAAGAGTACGGGAAAAGAAAGAAGGGTATGGAATTAATATGAGAAAATGAAAAAATGGAAACAAAGTCTTAGTAAATAGGGAGGGATGGAGGGGTTGAAGGCAGGGCAGGGGAAGGGGGAAAAAATAAGAACCAAGAGAGATTTTGTAAAGGTGCAAATTTCCAATGATGAATGTCATTATACTGTATCCCTAAAATTTACCAATAAAATTAAATTTTGAAAAAAATGTGTGCCTTACCTTTCACATAGTACACACACGCATGTACACGCCCTCCCCAGAAGAGTAACTCTATATAAAGGAAAATGGAAATCTTGGAGAAGGCAGGGTCTGAGCTGGAATAAACTGATGCTTCTAGGAGAACCAAATAAGCAAAGGAAATTCTAGCTAGAGAGACCAGGAGCAAATAAATATGCAAAGAAATAACTGAGTTAATTAATTAATTAATTTAAAGATGGCAATGTGTGAGTCTGATGCTACTGCAGTGTCAAGAGCATAAAAGGAAGTGGGTGACAAACCTGGAGAAATTGTCACAAGGTACTTAATTAAATATGTGGACAGGAAGGAAAGAGTTTTGGGGATTGTCCAGAGTTGTAGCAAAGGCTCCATCATGGGTAGTTGTGCCCTTGTCTCTGGCACTGTTTCTTACTGTCTCAAGAGAGGAAACTCTGACCTGCTTTGGAGAAGAGCCGATTGCATAGCAGCATAATGGGTTCTCAGTGCTTTATGAGTCCACATACCAGCTGGCAGTGCCCCAGGCCTCAGAGGTTGGCCATTCATTATCCTATTGAGTGTCAGTTTACAGCTACTTGGAATATTTCATGAGAAAGCTTTTTTCCTGCATGTTATCACATGTCCAGAGCACCAGACCAGTCTTAAAATCGACAAGATTTTTCTAAAAATTACTTAAGCATTTTCCTCAATTCAAACGTATATAAAATCTAAATATTGGTCAGTAGCTCACTGCACCATCTTGTACTCCTAGAACTTACCTTTTCACTTTCTCCCTCACTTCACAAGAACCCCTACGATAGCTACAGGGAACCTCAGTTACCTGCACAGCACAGTCTGAAAGTCACCAAAGAGAGGTGACCTTCAGGACAAAAGGTCTGTGTCATGTTCTCCTGGTACCTAGAGGATTCTCAATGAAGGCACTTGTTACTAAGATAATGTTTTAGTTTTTAAGCAGCTTCTCTAGCACCACAGTAGGTTACTCTTTATCCATAGTCCTTCTTTCCATGTCTCCCTGGGAAGTAACCTTTTCTTTGTCCTGATCTGTTCCTCTCTTCCTCTGAACTATGGTTCCTTCTTTTACTATAAAGGTCTCACCATTTTCAATTTCTTTTTAATTCCAGCCCTTCGCTGTTCTCTATCATCCAAACAGCCTTCTTCTTTGCACTCATAGACTCAGAACCCTCCTGGAGAGCTTGGGCTGTTTCTTTGTTTGCCAAGATCAGAGAGTAATTAAAGTAACATCAGTAACATCAGCCCAGCTCAGGTGGCTAGGAAGATTGCCTAGGTGAGCTTGAGCACTGGGGAAATATTCATCCCATTCTGTGAGCAAGCACAGTGTGGAGCACAGCCTCTTGCTCTAGTGAGAAAAAATTCTGTTCTTCCAAAGCCTCAACCTTCCAAACCAGAGGACCCAAAAATCACATAGGAAAGATGGAGGTACACGGGCCATGTAGATAATTGTAAGAGATTTGAGATCTTCATCTCTCCTTGTATGAAACTCTGACTAAAATTTTATTCCTCTTTGAAGTTTCATCATTTCTAGATTTATTTTTTCCCTCCACATGCAATAACACCATATGTTGGAAATTCAGATATAAGAGCATGAGTCTTACTTTGCAAATTCAGGTGTGCAAGACATTCACACTGTTTCATGCTCTTTAAGTTAAAATAAATCTGACTTCACCCCTACTCATGTCCTCCAAACACCGTGTGGAAGAAAATTCAGTTTCTGATCCCTCCTAAAACCTCTGGGGTCTTAGAATCTTAAGCAGTTATCACAAGCTTTGGTTTTGCCCCTTGAAACCCTCTATCTACCCCTTGGGAGCCCAAATCTAGTGAATTTGCAATCCTAAGATTCCCTAGATTCTTCTGTAAACCTTCAGTCTTAGTTTCAATATCTTCCTCACTACTGGCATGAGTTTTTTTCTGGCCAAATAACAAAAACAGCAACTATCTGTTAAAAGTTCACAGCAACCAGGTGCACTTGACCCAGTTAAATCATCTTGTTTACATGTCACAGTAGCCCTTCTTGCTCCTGGGTTGTAAGTTGGAATGTCACATGTTTCATTTTATGTGAAAGGAAATGGAGGCCTGGAGATAAGTCTCTTGCTCAAGGTCATGCTGATCATGAACCTACACATAGAGTCCATGTCTACATCTCTTCACCACCTCACTTCTGCCTTCTAATAAATGGCCACCTTGGCCTCTTGTACTCATTGTTATTCATATCCAAGCCATTTCTCTTGCCCTGAGATGATCCAACATTCCTCCCAAGACCTTGGGGTGTTTTGCTCTGATGCCTTCTGCACTTCACTCTCTTCCTTTGTCCCAGCTGTCTCTTTCTCTGAGTCACATGTTCTCCTTTGGGAGGCACTTCCAAATTCACCTGATAGAGTAGGCAGCTTGACAGACTAGGATAGACTCTTCTGAAATGAACACAGAAGTCCTAAGTTGCAGAGTTTGGAGAAACATGTTAATTCAAGGATTCTAACCTTTTTTGTTTTACAGACAGAGGAACAAACTGAAGAGGGAAGAGACCCGTGCACATTTAAACAGCTGGGGATGGGCAAGTATCATGGAGTTCATATTTATACTCACACTCCAGCCAGTTCTTGTTACATTTATTCCTGCAATGCGGAGGAGAAGGCTGATGTCTTCCACTTGGACATTAACCAAGGAAATAAGGACCAGAAGTTCCCACAGGAACTAGAATCATCCTTGCCCCTAGGAACTAGATGAAGACCTAGACACCCATGTCAGTTCTATTCCACCATTAAACACCCAAATAACCAGATACATAATTAAACACTGAGTTAGCTCAGTTGTTTCTTGGTGACAGTTGAGAATAATAACAAAAAGAGCCCATAACAAATTTGTAGTTCTAAAATTTGAATTGGTACACAATATCAAATTAATAACATTTCAACTAATCACAGGCAAAATCAGCACAAATTCTAGGTGAAGCTGCTATAGGACTGACACACATATAATTTATTTTCACAAATACAGATTTTTTATAAAAGAATACCACTATTAAATGTCACCAAAGTCATTTTTATTTTGAATATGAATTTTTCATATTCAACCATCTAGGACCCTAGCATTTCCAGCTGCACCATCCCCCACCCCTCTCAAACTTTGCCCCTCCTACCTGTGCCCTACATTTCTTCAGCCTCTCCTTCCCTACTCACCAAACCAAGTGCAAGGACACCACATTCTGTCTATGGAGGTTTCGCATCTGACATAATAATTATAGTACTGAACATTTTATTGTGACCCTACAAAATGCTATTTTATTATCTTAATTTATCTCCACAGAAACATTCTGAGACAAGTACTATAATTTTATGAGGAAACTGAGGCCAAGAGAATATATACAATCTGCCAATGTTGCTACTCAGCGATGGAAGCTTCAGGACTCCAGAGACTCTAGTCTTACTCCACCATAATGCCTACTTCTCATCATTAATGAGGGAAAATTAAGTTTATCAACTTTGTATCACTGTGACAAAATACCTAAGAAAAATCCATTTAAAGAAGGAAAATTTTACTTTGACTCACCTTTCCTGAGATTTCACTACATGGTCACTTGACCAGTTTCTCTTAAATTTGAGGCAAGGGAGAACATCATGGTGAAAGGGTGTGATGGAGGAAAGCTGCTTGGCTCATTGAGGCTAGGAAGAAAAGAAAGAGAGCTTGCTTTTGTAACAAAGATCCTCTCCTGATGCCCATAGTGAATTAGTCCATAAGTGAATTAATCCATTCACAAAGTCAGAGCCTTTGTGATCCAATCACCTCCCAAAGTACCTGCCTCAGAATAGTGCTGCACTAGCCACCAAGCCTTCAATAACCAGCTTTCAGGGAACACCTAAGTTCCAAACCATAACAATATGTAAAAAGATTGGCACATACTGATGCTGAATACCTGTTAGTTTCCTTTTGCTTCTGAGAAAATATCTCCCCCTCTTGCCCGCTACACTGTCTTTATTTTCTGTATTAGAAATATATTCTTCTGGGTTTTTAAGGACTGAAGTTTTAATGATGCCAGGAAAATGTGCATTCAACATTGTTACTACTTTTCAAACATTTTGAAAGAATTTCCAGAGTTTAATTTCTTTCCTCTGTTTTCCTCTGGTCACTATGAAGAAAAACACAGCCTGTTGTGTGAATACCTACCTTGGATTAAGCATCAGTGAATACAAATGTTTACACAGATGGGATTCTCTGTACAGGGAATGGTAAGTATGAAGAATACCTTGTTTAGCTCATTCTATACAAGAGCCTAATGATCCCTGGGCCTTCTTTAAATAAAAAAGGTTGAGCCATCATCAAAGTCCATCACACTACTATTTCCCTGGATTCAAGTGCACCAGACACTTAATGTGGAAGTATGTGGCCTATGGTGTATGTTATTGGGAAACACAGAATGTCCCCAAATGGTTCATTATGTTGAAGGCCTGGTTGCCAGCTTATGGGGTTTTGGGAAGTGATTGGATTGTGAGGGCTCTAACTTTATAAAGTAGATTAATTCACTGATGAATTCATTAGTTGAATGGGCTTATTAGGAGGTGGGACCTATTTGGATAAAGCATGTCACTGGGGGCATGGCTTTGAAGGGTATCTTTTTGTTCTCCATACCTATGTCTCAGGCTGCCTTTTCTCTCACACTAATTCCTGGGTGAGAAGATGAACAGCTTTCTTTCACAATACCCTTCCGTTATGATGTTCTGCCTGACCTCTGGCTCATAGTAATGGAACAAGCCAACCCTAACTGAACCCTCTGAAATCATTAGCCAAAATAAAGCGCTCCTCATTTAAGTTCTTTTACTTGAGTATTTTGTTACAGTAACAGAAATCTAAGTATTACAGGTGGAACTCCCTCTGATATTTACGAGCCACAATATTACCTAGGGTAAGCAACATCACCTCTCCAATTTCCAGCTTCCTCGTCTATCAAAGTGAGATAATAACAGTACTTACAGGATTATTACAAAAATGATACAAGATGGCTCATTTAAGCTCTTATCACAGTGCCTGCCACACAGTACTCCGTAAACACCAAAGATAGTTATTGCTGGTAGTAGCACTAATACCCATGGCTATATATGGGTGGTTGTAGTAAAGATATGTTTTCAGCAGAGACTGTCTCAAGCACAAAAACAAGAAAGGAATAACTCTGATGTCTAGCTATGCTTTCAACTTGAATTGATTTAGTACATATTTTATTCTTAATTTCATCCTTTGTCCTTAAAAGAATTTAAGACATAATAAAACACTCTTAAATTAGAAAAGAAAAATTGAAAATCATGCTGAAGGAGGAGAAAGGACACATTAGAAACAATGACAGTTAAAATTTACTTTCAATTCTAACCTTCCTAGTAGCCAGTGTAAAGGGCACGTTGAATACACTATGACATACTCATTAGTTGATGGTTTGCATGTATCACTTTTGTCTGGATCCAAATTAGCAAAACTGATTTTCTTAAAGTTTGCCAAACAGCAACTGCTACTAACAGAAAGTAATTTTATCAGCTATCTTTGTATTGAACATTTCTATTTTCTTCCACTGATATGTGGGTTTTTTGAGAGGAGGAGTTGTGTTGTATTCATATTGCTGTCTAAGGATATACTTAAGGATATTGCTTCTAAGGATGTACCCTGTCCTCAGAGGGTGCTTTAAAAAAATGAACATTGAAATAAATTGTGCACAAGTTACTTAGCCCTCAGAAGGTAATTGGATAGGTGTCTGCACATTATCACATGCAAAATTTGAACACAGTTCTGACCCTCAAAATTTAGGTTCTTTTCTTCTACTCCACTGTTCTAATTATTTATTTCTATGCTGCAAGTTAAGGTAAAACTTAGTTGCTTCCAACAACAAATATCTTTTACGGTTCTGTGGATGGCATGAGCTTAGCTAGGTTGTCCTTGCTCAGGGTCTTTCACAGTTACAGTCAGATAGGTTTGGAGTCAGCTGAGGACTACTTTGGTCACATGACTGCAGAAGAAACAGGAGTAACTAGAGTATCTGTGGCTGGCTGTGCATCTCCCTACACAGAGCCTCTCTGCTAGCCACATATGGTGATATCAGAATAGTTAGACTGCTTTTGTGTTGCTCACTCTAGAGTGGCATTCCATGAGACCAGGGCAGAAGCTTCAAAGTTCCTTCTGACCTAGGTCTCTGAAATTACATGGAAACATATTTGCCATATTCTACTATTTTGTCATATTCAAAATAATTACAGGCCCACGCCAATTCAAGGGATGGAGGTATAGACTCCATTTCTTAAATGGGAGTAGACTTACCAGACTTAGCTTAGTTTCCAAGATTTAAATTACAGTATTCTACAATAAATGATCTCCAAGATGAAGATATAGTAGTCAAGACAAGGTGATGTTGGTGTTGGATTATACAAGGAAATTGATGTAAAGGCTCCAGAAATAGACTCACACTTTTACATTTAATTAATCTTTGACAAATGTATTAGCATTTGATACTGGGATGATGTTCCATAAAAAAAATCCTATAACATTTACCCATAACATAAAACTTAATTTGTATAATATGCAAAAACTAATTTGAGTTGGCTCATGGGTTTAATATAAAGTTAAAACTATAAAGCTTCTAAAGGAAAGTATTTTTGTAATTTTTCAGATATTTTCTTAGACAAAACACAAAAGAAAGTGATAAATAAGACATTCTCTTTTTGTTAATCAAAAGACACCATCAAGAAGACATAAAGCAAGCCACAGACTAGGAGAAACTATTTGTACCACATGTATGTATGACAAAGAATTTGCATATAGAATCTATTAAGTATTTCACAACTCAAAAATAAATTGACAAATAACCCCATTTAAAATTCAAGCATAAAACTTGAACAGATATTGCAAAAGGAGGTATAAAAATGGTAGGTAATCACTTGAAAATGTGGTTGGCACTACTTGAGACCCCTGCAGTTAGGTTCTAGCCTCCTGCCCAGTATACGATGAAGGCCTGAGGAAAAAAACTAAAAGACAGAACTAAAAGAGACAGAAATCAGGATTCCAGGATGACCAATGCTGATGCAACTGACAAAGGTGCTGGCCAGTCCAAGCTACTGACTTTTATTTTCAATCAATTAAAGGCAAGCTATGTGCAAGGGCCGTACTATCTGAGAAGATGCACAGTAGTGCAATGTTTATGAAAATTAATGTAAACAAGGCTTGTAACAGACAAGACAAAGCATTCTTAAATTAGGAACAGAATAGACAAAATATATGGTTGTAATTAGAACATTATCCTTCTAGTTAAGAAAGTTTTAGTTCTGGGAATGGAATGTGGTGCGTGTTACTCTGACCTCTGCACATAGACTTCAGCCAGACTCACTTCTATAAACAAGACAATTGTGGGGTTAACTCTTCACAGCCTGCTTTGGGGCATAATCAATATTGCAGTCTCCAGGGCCAGGGATTTAACTCAGTGGTTTCGCCACCTGCTGAGCAAGCACAAGGACCCGAGTTCGATCCCAGGTACCAAAAAAAAAAAAAAATTGCAGTCTCCAGGACAGCACCATTAGTGGCCAGGGATATGCACATGGAAACCATAATGAGATATCACTGTTTATCCTGTAGAGTGGTTAGGATTAAAAAGATTCATAATGTCAAATATTGATAAGGATGTGAAGCAACAGGATATGTTGCTGGCGAGAATATAAATGCTGATAAAAATGGTTCAATCACATTAGAAAACTGGCAACCTCTTATAAAACTAAATATATACATGTCCCATGACCTAGAAATTACACTTCTAAGTATTTATCCAATAGAAATAAAAACACATGTTCAAAAAAATACTTGCAGAAAAAGGATGATTGTAGTTTTACTCATAATAACTGCAAAATGGGAACAACCAAAATGTCTATCAACATGAGACTGGGTAAGATACTGTAATATAGTCATACACCCGGGAACCACTCAGCAGTAGAAACAAGCTATCAGTACACACTAAACACGAATAAATTTTTTTAAAAAACATGTCAAGTGAAAGTAGCTACCTGCAAAAAAGCATCACTCAAGTGAAGTTCAAGGACAAATAGAACTGTGTTAATAGAAAGCAGAAAAATATGTATGATTAGTGTGGAACAGGAGTAAGAAGATTTGCTGGAGAGAAACATGGGGAACCTTCTGGGGTGACAAAAATGCTCCTAGATTGATTTAGGTAAAGGTTGCTTGGGTTTAACTTGTTGTCAAAATTCATTAAACTGTATATTTTATATTATAGTAATTTCTATTTAGGTAGATCATTAAAAACTGCCCAAAGCAGGGAAGAAGCATGAAAATTGAAAAGTGGAACAGTGAGGAAAATAAAAAGCCTATGGTATGATAGTAGATTTAAATCCAAATTTAGCAACCATTGTATTACATGTAAATATGTCAGCTGTTCCAAATAAAAAAACAAAGATTTGTCAGACTGGATTTTAAAAATCCCAACTATTTGATGTTGATAATTGATACTTCTGAAAGATAAGCTACAGAAATATTGAAAGGAAAAGGATAGCAAAATAACCTGTGCAATTTTTAACCAAAAAGAAGCCAGTAGGCCTATATTATAATCAGATAATAAGAGTTTTCATGTTGAAAAGATTACTAGGGAAAATAAAAATATTTCATAGTGATCAC